GTAGGAGAACCTCCTCCTACTTTATTAGTCCTCTGCCAGACTAATCACAAGAAAAAGAGATGACACAAATACCATATACCAATATCAGAGAAAGATTACATCACCACATTCTAACACAAGAAAAATGGAGGATATTCAAAAACTTAGATGAAAGAGACAAATTCGATGAGAGTAAATTTCCAGAGCTCACTAAAAGAAAAACAAGTAACTCAAAAAAACCTATATTATTAAAGACATTGAATCTTTAAAAACCTCACAAAAAAATACTCCAGGCCCAGTTGGCTTCACTGGTAAATTCTACCAAACACTTAAGGAACATATAATACTAATTCTGGACAAATTTTTCCATATGATTAAAAAGGAGGGAATACTTTCCAACTCATTCTATGAAATTAGCATTATCCTGATACCAAAACCAGACAAAGACATTACAAGAAAACTACTATATCTCTCCTGAACATAGACAAAAAAGTTTAAACAAAATTTTAGCATATCAAATCTAACAACATACAAACGGATAATATACCATAACCAAGTAGTATGACTGGTTTCACATTTACAATCAATGTAACTGAAAATATTAACTAAAAAAAAAAAAAGATGATTTCGGGTGCCTGGGTGGCTCAGTTGGTTGAGCGACTGCCTTCGGCTCAGGTCATGATCCTGGAGTCCTGGAATGGAGTCCCGCATCGGGCTCCCTGCTCAGCAGGGAGCCTGCTTCTCCCTCTGACCCTCCTCCCTCTCATGCTCTCTCAATAAATAAATAAAAATTATTAAAAAAAAAAAAAAGATGATTTCAATAGGTGCAGAAAAAAATACATTTGACAAGATCCAAAATCCATTCCTACGGGGGAGGGGGGGAACAAACCAAGAACACAGGGGAACTTAATCAGATAAAAATCTATAGAGAACATCATACTTCCTGGTAAAACAGTGAATGCTTTCTCCCTAAGATCTGGAACAAAACAAAAATGTCCATTCTCACCACTCGTATTCAACACTGTACTGGAGGTTCTAGCCAGTGCAATTCAGGTAGCAAAAAGATGGGAAAGAAAGAAATTGTACTATCTTTATTTGAAGGTAACACACTCTTGTATATAGGAAGTCCTAGGGGCGCCTGGGTGGCTCAATCATTAGGCATCTGCCTTCGGCTCCAGTCATGGTCCCAGAGTCCTGAGATCAAGCCGCACATAGGGCTCCCTGCTCGGCGGGGGGCCTGCTTCTCCCCCTCTCCCACTCCCCCTGCTTGGTTCCCTTTCTCGCTGTCTGTCAAATAAATAAATAAAATCTTTAAAAAAAAAAAAAAAAGAAAAGAAAGAAAGAAAATCCTAGGGAACTTACCAATAAATAAATAAAAGCCTACCAGAAATAATAAGCAAGTTTAACAAGGTTGCAGGGTACAAGGTCAATACACAAAAATCAATTGCAAAACACAATGAGATATCACTTCATAGCCACTATGATGCCTGTAACCAAAAAGACAAACAACAAGTTTTGGCAAAGATGTGAAGAAATTGGAAACCTCATACACCGCTAGTGGGAAGGTAAAAATGATGCAGCTGCTATGGAAAACAAAAAACAATATGGCAGTTAACCTTTTGACCCAGCAACTCCACTCCTAGATATTTACCTAAGCAAAGGGAAAACATACATTTACACAAAAACACATACAAGAATATTCACAGCAACATTATTCATAATAGCCAAAAAATGGCAACAACACAAGTGTTCACCAACGGATGAATGGATAAATAAAATATAGCATATCCATTCGATGGAGTATTAATTGACCATTAAAAGATGCGGTCCTGGGGCGCCTGGGTGGCTCAGTCAGTTAAGCGTCTGCCTTCGGCTGGGGTCATGATCCCGGGGTCCTGTGATGGAGCCCCACATCAGGCTCCCTGCTGAGCAGGGCCTCTGCTTCTCCCTCTCCCTCTGCTCCTCCCCCCTGCTTGTGCTCTCTCTCTCTCAAACAAAATCTTAAAAAAAAAAAAAAATGCAGTCCTGATACATACTATAATGTAAAAGAACACTGAAAACATTAGACCAAGTAAAAAAAGCCATACATAAAAGACTGTATAGCATATGATTCTATTAAATGAAATGTCCAGAACAGGCAAACTCATACACATAGAAAGTAAATACATAGTTGCCAGGGTAGGAGGGAGCAAAACTGGGAGTAACTGCTAATAGATACATAGTTTCTTTGGGGGGTGATGGAGATGTTCTGGAAACAACAGTGACAGTTACACAACACTATGAAGGTACTAAAACCCCTGACTTGTATACTGTAAAATGGTTAAAGTAGTGAATTCTATGTTATTTGAATTTTATGTTGATAAAAAAAAAACTACTAAAATAATCAACTGCATTTCTATGTATCAGAAATATACAATTCTAAGAATGAAATTATAATAATTGTATTCACAAAAGCATAAAAAGTACCTAGGAATACACTGTATGTTAACTAGAATTTAAATTTTAAAAAGGAAGAGGTAGGGCACCTGGGTGGCTCCGTTGGTTAAGCGTCTGCCTTCGGCTCAGGTCATGATCCCAGGGTCCTGGGATCAAGCCCTCCATCAGGCTCCCTGCTCAGCAGGGGAGTCTGCTTCTCCCTCTCCTTCTGCCCCTCCCCCTGCTTGTGTGTGCATGCGCGCTCTCTCCCTCTCTCTCTAACAAATAAATACAAATCTTTAGAGAAAAAGGAGGGTGCCTGGGTGGCTCAGTTAGTTAAGCATCTGCCTTTGGCTCAGGTCATGATCCCAGGGTCCTGGGATCGAGTCCCACATCAGGCTCCCTGCTCTGAGGGGAGCCTGCTTCTCCCTCTGCCTCTCTCTCTCTGTCTCTCTCATGAATGAGTAAATAAAATCTTAAAAAAAAAAAAAAGTAAAAAAAATACTTAGGAATAAATTTATCAAAATAAGTACAAGACCTGTACATTAAAAACTACAACAAAATGCTGATGAGAGAAATTAAACAAGATATAAATAAGAGAGATACCATGTTCTGGATTAGAAGACTCAATATTGTCAGAATAACAATTCAACACAATCCCTACCAAAATCCCAGTAGGTTTTTTGGTTTTTTTTGTGGAAATTGACAAAGTAATTCTAAAATTTATGTGAAAATGCAAAGGATCCAGAAAAGCCAAAACAATTTTGAAAAAGAATAATAAAGCTAGAGAACATACACTACCTAATTCCAACACATAAACCTACAGTAATAAAAACAGGATAGACATGGAACAGAATAGGGAATCCAGAAATAAACCCACACAACTGCAGTCTGTTGATTTTTGACAAGAGCACCAAGTTAATTCAATAGGGAAAGGATAGTCTTAACAAATGGTGCTGCAACAACTGGATATCCATAGGTCAGAAGGGGAAAAACAAAAAAAGGCAAAGAACTTACACCCTTAATAAAAATTAACTCAAAATGAATCACAGACCTAAATGTAAGACATACAATGTTTACAACTTCTGGATAAAAACATAAGAGAAAATCTTTTTGGTCTTGGGTTCTGCAAATATTACCTGCCTATGTCAATGAAAGCATGATGATAAAAGAAAAAAAAAAATGATAAACTGGACTTAATCAAAACTCAAAATCTTTTCTCTTCAAGAGACACCATTTTAAAAATGAAAATACAAGCCACATACTGGAAGAAAATATTTCCAAATCACTTATCTGATCAAAAGATTTGAATCCAGAATGTATAAAAAGCATGACTCAATAATAACATAGGCAATGAAACTGAAAAGAGGGTAAAATATTTTTTTTTTAAGACTTTATTTGATAGAGAAAGAAACAGTGAGAGAGGGAACACAACCAGGGGGAGTGGGAGAGGGAGAAGCAGGCTTCCCACTGAGCAGGAAGCCCGATGCAGGGCTCAATCCCAGCACCCTGGGATCATGACCTGAGCGAAAGGCAGACGCTTAATGACTGAGCCACCCAGGCGCCCCAGAGGGTAAAATATTTTAAAAGATACACAAAGGGCTAATACGTACGTGATTAAATGCTCAACATTGTTATAGGAATGTAAGTTAAAACAATGAGATACTATTACAGATCCTCTAGAACGGCTGTAATTAAAAAGACCGACAATCTAAATGTTGGTGAGAATGTGAAGAAACTAAAAGAACCCTCATAACACACTGGTGGGGAAAAAAATTAATAGTCACCACTTGGGAAAATAGTTTGGCAATTTCTTCAAAAGATAAATATACAGTAACCATATGACCCACCAATTCTACTTCTAGGTATCTACCCAAGAGAAACTTCAAAACTTATCTGCACAAAGAACTTTCTATAAAAGAATGTTCATAGCAGGACTATATATAATTGCCCAAAAATTGGAACAATCCAGATTTTCATTGAAGATCGTAAAAGGTGGTATATTCATACAATGCAATACAATTCAGCATTAAAAAGGAACAAAGTGGGTGCCTGGGTGGCTCAGTTGGTTAAGCAACTGCTTTCGGCTCAGGTCATGATCCCAGAGTTCTGGGATCGAGTCCCACATCGGGCTCCCGGCTCAGCAGGGAGCCTGCTTCTCCCTCTGACCCTATCCCCTCTCATGCTGTTTCTCTCTCTCTCTCTCTCTCTCTCTCTCAAATAAATAAATAAATAAAATCTTTAAAAAAAAAAATCATTTAAAAAAAAGGAACAAAGTACTGATACATACAACAGCACGGTTGACCCTCAACAACATTATACAACTGAAAGAAAACAGGTTATAAAGATGAGATAGGGTATGATTTGATTTATATGAAATTTCGAGCAAAGACAGAACTATAGGTAAAAGCAGGTCAATGGATGCCTGGAGGTGGGACTGCAAAGGGACATATAGGAACTTTGAAGGGTCATAAAACGGGATTGTGGTGATGGTTTCACAACTGTATGTATTTACTACAACTCATCAAAGTGTACAATTACAATGGATGAATTTATAGGGTATTAATACCTTGATAAAGTTAAGAAAAAGTGAACAATATACTCACCATTGTAGCCTTCAAGAACAGAATCAATAATAGGTCTTGCAGTTAAGTTATAAACATCAAGTTGTTTACTCTCTGGTCCAAAAACAGTATCAAAAGTAAATGTCTTTGGAGGTTCATTGGAAGAATCAGTCTTATGTACAGTAATAGTTCCCCTCATCTCATCCACACTGACAGCCTGTTTATAGCACATTGATTTCTCTCTCTCGTTGAGGGGCCGGCACCTAACCACCACCTTCACATTATCACAGCTTTCAGGCTTCTCTGATTTATTGATCTGGTGGAGAAAATATTCACAAATAATGGAAAGAACATTTACTTTTACCTTCAGCAAATTAAATTTCAAATTTGAAAAAGGCTACTGTGCCATCCCAGTGCCTTGCACGTATTAAGCACTCCACAAATATTTGTTAAATGCAATTAAAGATCTTACAGCTACATGGAAAAAGCTTATTAAGTGATATGAAAAGGCAAATAGTTTTTTACAATACAAATGAGGAGAAAGAAAGCCTAATTTACATTTATAGTAAATAAATGCTGTTCAAGCAGAAAATGAATCAGTATATTATGGACTGTCTTTCTCCACAAAAGTCCCTGACTTCCTCTGAGTTTCCTGCCTGAAGGAAAACACATGTGAACATGGTTAACAACTTTAATCAAGAATATAGTAGTACGTCCTGTGTTCCCCTGAGACTTTGAGTTTTATTTTCTACAATGCATCGGTAAAATGTTTCTTACCATGTAACATATGTAGTCTATCTTCTCTATAGAAGACAACATGAAACACAGCAAATAAAGTCCAATGGCAGAGAGAAATGTTTTAATATCCCTCTAACCTTATGAACATCTATATACGTAGTTTCAATTTTTGAAATTTTATGATTAACCATCTATGTTAAAATATAACCCTAAGCAAAGACACTCACATGTGGAATCTAAAAAACAAAACAGAGGAACAAGCAAAAGTCACAGGGAACAGACTGGTGGTTGCCAGAGGGCAGTGGGGTACAGAGGTGGACAAAATGGGTGAAAGAGATCAAAGGTACAAATCTCCAGTTATAGAATAAGTAAGTCATGTATATATAATATACAGTATGGTGACTATAGTCAATAGTACACCGCCGCATATTTGGAAGTTGCTAAAAGAATATATCTTGAAATTGTTCATCATAAGAAAAAAAATTTTGTAACTCTTAATGGTGATAGATGGTCACTAGACTCACTGTAGGGATTATTTCACATGGTACACAAATATCAAATCATGTACAAGTGAAATTATTGTGTTATATGTCAATTATACTTCAATTAAAAAAATACAATCCTGTTACTGAAGTGAAGTTCAATAGCTTAGTTGAACAGTACCAATATAACACACTTCTCCCCACCTCTGCTTTCACCACCTAAGTCTAGGTCACCATGATCCCACCCTAAACTGGACACCGGCATCTAGTTAGGTTCTCTTACAGTCTGTTCTCTACAGAGCAGTCAGCTTCAACACAAATTTAATCATGTTGCTCCCTTACTTAAAACTCCTCAATGGTTTCCCACAGATCTCAGGATAAAAATCACAATCCTTAAGGTGGTCTGTAAGACCTGGCTCTGGCCCAGGTCTACTTGTCCAGCCTTATTTCACAAGCTACCCTGCTTGGCTTTCTTAGCCACAGCCACATTAGCTTTTTTTAAGCCTTTTCTTGTCACCATGCCCTTTCTCACCACAGGCCTTTCCCTGTGCTGTTCCTCCGGCCTAGAACATTCCTCACTCTCCCCTTCACTTATTCTCAGGTCTCAGCAAAACAGCCAGTTCACTTGGGAAGACTTCCCTAACTAGGTCAAATTGTGGTATAGGCCCTGAGAGCACCCTTCTCCCTCGATCATCTACCACCAGTTTCAATTCTACTTTTGTTTGCTCCTTACTTGATTAATGTCTGTCCTATCCGTCTACACCAAAGGTTGCCAACTGGTTGTCAGGGGCTGAATTCAGCCCACATATATCTTTTGTTTGGCTCATAGCACTTAACAATATTTTTGAATTAGTTGTTAAAATTTTTTAAAAATGGAGAAATTTCATAAAAATAACAATTTCTATAGTCTCTTGGAAAAAAAAAAAAAAAAAAAAGATGATCTGGCATCTGTAGGCCAGCATTCCTCCTACATGGGAACACTTCACAATTGACCAGAATCTACTTTCTATTACATGCCACCCATTCGCTTCATGAATGATAGGCATCTTGTCTCTATCAACATGACTTTCACCTCTGGCCATGAAGGCAAGCTTCTGTCTTCCCAAGTTCAAGAACCTGGCTGGTTTTGCTCAGTATTTTGCCTCCAGTGCCTAACATGTGGTTGATGCCGGATATCTGCTGAATGAACTAGTAACTTGAAAGCAACGACACGGAACAAATATTGAGCACTTAATGCTAAATGTCAAGCACTGTCCTTCAATTCCGCTGTGCATTACCTTATTTCATCCTGATAAAATCCCATGAGAAACAGTTTAATTATGTGGGAACTAAGAACCCAGAAAGATTAAATAATTGTCCCAGGTCTCGCAACCAGGAGAAAACCGACCAAAGCCCAAGTGTTCTCCATGACCCTATATTGGACTTAGGACGCCCCCTATTAAGTGTACGGTAACACTCTGTGAAAGCCTACAAGACAAACATGCCACCCCCCACCCCCCCTCACACACAAAGACACCTACGGGTTACATTCTGCACTGTAAGCTAAAGCACCACGAAAGAAATGACAGCTCGAGTCAAGGGCTGGAGTAAAAGCAAGCAGCTCTCGCCGCTACCATCCAAGGGTCGGCTCTGCGGCGTACAGACCCCACCAGGTGCGGAGCATCCAAAGCCTACCCCCCGCGGCCGCTCCCAGACGCCCTACTCAGCTAGCAGGGCTGGGAGCGAGAGCGCATCCTCTGGCGCTGTGCCTTTATGTCAAGCAGCGCAGGCCCTGCGGGATGCAGCACCGGCGAAGGCGGCAGGGCCTGGCCGGGGCCCCTCCCAGGACCGGCTGGAACCTCGCGGGCCACGGAGCCCACCCGCCAGGCTCCCCAACCGCTCCGGCCCGCAGAGCCGGACCCTGCCCCGCCCCACCCCGGCCGCCTGCCTGATCCGCGCCTCCATGGCAACGGCCGCGCCCCCGAGCCAGGCCGCTGGGATGAGGAACCCCAGCCACTGAGCGACTCTCCTCACCGGCATCGTGGCTCCCTCCTGTGCCCGGCGGAGGCCCCCGCCCTGGGCGCAGTCCAACGGCGCCGGGTTCGCGGGAGAGGTCTGCCAGAGACTACCGAAACACCGCCTTGGCGCTCTCGAGACTGCGGCTCCTCGGGCGAGAGCAGGCAGTGCGCAAGCGCACTCCGAGCTGCCCCGCCCCGTCCCCGGGCCTCACGCTCCCTCGGCCTCCTGAATTACGCCTGCGCCGAGGCTTTCGGAGTCGTCGCCTAGGACGCCAGACTGAGGCCGCGCCTGCGCAATGCTGCCGGTCGGCTGCGCTAGAAATCTGGCCCGCATTGGGGCGGGGATACCTGGCTGCCACTGGTGGGGAGAGGGAGGTATTCCTAGGTCGCACCGCTAGTCTTCTGGCCCTTGGAGTACTCCAAATATTGGAAACAACCATAGCAAATAAACAAATAAATAAATACACAAATAAATACAAGCAAGTGTACACCGTGTCCATCTCATTAATGCGCTTGATTGCTGACTTGTTTATAAAACCCGTATCTTTATTACAGATGTAGTCAGGAGGAGCTTTGTCTGTATTCTCACAAGTATCTCCAGAGCCTAGAATAGGACTTAGAATAGGACCTAGCACAGGACAGGTTTTCAGTAATTATTTGTGAAAGAACCAATGATCTATCCTCTTTCCTGTCCGGACCTCTGCTCTGAACACCAACTACCGAGCTTGGATGTGCAATAGACATTTCAAGATTATCATGTCCAAAACTGAAAGGTTGATTCCCGCCCCCGCCCACACACACTATATTACTGCCCATCCCCACCCCGCCCCACCTCCAAACGTTAAAAAAAAAAAAAGTGCCTTCTCCTACTTCCCTCAGCATAATAAATCTAAACTGAATTCTGACAATTGCTTGGTCACAGTACAGTCTCTTTCCCTCATACCCAATGTCCAATCTTTCAGTAGAGCTTGTTTCTATCTTTAAAGTAGAACCAGAATCTGACCACTTCTCACTATCACCACCACCTCACATCTGTATTACCACAATAGCTCAAAACCGGTTTCCTTGAGTGCATCCTTGTCCCCTTTTAGTAAGTTTTCAACACAGGAGCCAGAGTGATGGTGTTAAAACATGAATCAGATAGTGTCTTTTCTGTATTCAAAACCTGCCAATGATTACCTATCTCACAGACTCAAAGTCACAGGCCCTCTCCCCATTTCCTACAATCTTCCCTCTTGCTCATTATTCTGCACCAGCTCCACTTGGCCTCCTTGATTCAACAGACATTCTGGGCATGGTTCCATCTTAGAAGGCAAGGGCTTTTGCACTTGCAGTAGGAGCTAATAAAAACAACTATAAAGCATTTGACTTAGTGTCAGTGTACTGTTCTAAGTGCTTTACTTTCTTTTTTATTATTAATTTAATCCATATAATAGCCTTCTGAAATAGGTACTATTAGTCATTTTACTAGAAAATAGGAACAACTATTTTACAGATAAGAAACCCAGGCTCAGAGCCATTATGTAACTTGTCCAAGGTCAGATATTTGGGCAGTGACAAAGCCCAGATCCAAACCCAGGCCCTGGAAAGCTCTCCCCCTAGATATCCACCTGACTCCCTCACCCCTTTCAGAATGTCTTTGTTCACACATCACCTTCTCCATGAGCCCTACCATGATCTCTCTACTTAAAATTTCAACTTTTAGCCCCAGTCTTATCTCTTCTCCATATTTTGTATTTCTCCATAGTACTTATCACCATCTGATATACTGTATATATGATATATATATTATGTATATACGTATACCCTGTCTTATTGAGATATAATCACACATACAATTCACCGATTTAAATGTAAACTTAAATGGTTTTTATTATATACACAGACCACAACCACAATCAAAACATTTTCATCACCCCAAAAAGAAATTCTATAATCATAGCAGTCACTCCCATTCACCCCCCAGCCCCTCCTCTTCAACATCCCAGCCTTAGGCAAACACCCATCAACTTTCTGCCTCGCTTGCCTATTTGATACATTTCATATAAATTGAATCATGCAATGTGTGGCCTTTTTTGAGTGATTTCTATCACTTAGAGTAATGTTTTCAAGCTTCAACCCTATTGTGGTATATACCAGTAATTCTTTACTTTGAATGGCTGAGTAATATTCCATTGTGTGGATATGCCACATTTTTATACATTTGTCAGTTGACAGACATTTGGGTTGTTTCTACTTCTTGGCCATTATGAGTATTGCTGCTGTGTAAGTTTTTGTGTGAACACGTTTCATTTCTCTTGGGTCTAATATGCCTACAAGTGGAATTGCCGGGTCATTCAGTCACTCTAATGTTTAACATTTTGAGGAACTGCTGAGCTGTTTTCTACAGTGGCCACACCACCAGCAATTTTATATTCTCATCAGCAATATATGAGGTTCACAAATCCTCCACATCCTCCCCAACTCCTGTTTTCTTGTCTTTTGACTACAGCCCTCCTACTGGTGTAAAATAGCATCTCATGATGGTTTGGATTTACACTTCCTTGATAACTAATGACGCACCTTTTTCCATGTGCTTACTGACCATTTGAACGTCTTCTTTGGAGAAATGTCCATTCAAATCTTTGCCCATTTTATTTGTCTTTTCATTACTAAGTTGCAAGAGTTCTTTCTAAATCCTAAATACAAGTCTCTTTTCAGAAATACAACATGCATAAATTTTTCTCCCATTCTGTGGGTTGTCTTTTCAATTTCTGGAGCGTGTTCTTTGAAGCTCAAAAGTTTTTAATTTAGATCAAACCCAATTTATGTATTTTTCTTTTTGTTGTTGTTGTTTCTTTCATTGTACTTTTGGTACATATCTAACAAACCATTTCCTAACCCAAGGTCATGAAGACTTATTTTTGTCAGAATTTTATAGTTTTAGCTTTTACATTTAGATCTATGATATATTTTAACTTCTTTTTTAATATGATATAAGGATCCAGCCTCATTTTTCTGTTTATGAATATCCTGCTGTCCCATCACCATTTGCTGAAAAGCCTATTCTTTCCTCCACTGAACTACTGTGGCACCCTTGTCAAAAATCAATTGATCATGAATGTGACTGTTGAATCCTAGACTCTCCATTCAATTCCATTGGTCTAAATGACTAACCTAATGCCAGTACTATACTATCTTGATTGCTATAGGTTTGTGGTAAGTTTTGAAGTCATATAGTTTGAGGCCTCCATCTTTGTTCTGCGTTTTCAAGATTGTTGTGGCTATTCTGATACCCTTGCATTTCCACTGAAGTTTTGGAAGGACCTTGTAAATTTCCACCAAAGGGCAGCTGGAAACTTAATAGATTGTGTTGAATCTACAGATCAATTTGGGAAGTATAGCCATTTTAACAATGTAAGTCTTTTAATCTATGAACATGGAATGTCTTTCCATTTACTTAGGTCTTCTTTAATTTCTTTCAGTGATGTTTTGTAGTTTTCAATGTATAAATGCTGCACTTTTTTGTTATATTCTTAACTATTTTATTCTTTTTTATACTACTGAAATGGAGTTATTTTCTTAATTTTATTTTCAGATTGTTCATTGGTGTTGTATAAAAATAAAATTGATTGTTTTCTAGTACATTGACCTTGTGCTCTGAACCTTCATGAACTTGTTTATTACTCCTAAGACTTTTTTAGTGGATTCCGCAGGTTCCTGGTCACACAAGATCTTTATTTCTCCAGCACTTTTGAAAGATAATTTTATTAGATAAAGAATTCCATGTTGATAGTTTTTTTCTCTCAACACTTTAAATATTTCAGTCCACTTTCTTCTTGCTTGCATGATCTCTGAAGAGAAATGCAATGTAATTCTCTGCTCTTTTATAAAGAAAGTTTCTTTCTCCCACTCTGGCTTCTTTCAAAATTTTTTCTTTACCTTTGGTTTTCTGTAGTTCGAATACAACATGCCTAGGTATCATTTTGGGGCACTTACCCTGCTCGGTGTTCTCTGGGCTTCCTGGTTCTGTGGTTTGGTGTCTGATATTACCTGGGGAAATTCTCAGTCATTACCACTTGAAATATTTCTTCTATTCCTTTTCCTCTTTCTTCTCCTTCTGACAATCCCATATATTTTAATGTAAATTTAATGTAAAGTACATTTTTAATGAAGTATATCTTAAAGAAAAGTGCAATAATCATAAATGCACAGCTTGGTCAGTTTTCACAAAGTGATCCCATGTGTGTAATCAGCATCTAAATCAAGAAACAGAACATTACCATCCCCCTAGAAGGTCCTTGCGATCCTTCCCAGTTACCATCCACTGCCCCCTAACGGTAACCACTATCTTAACTCTTAACGTTATAGATTTTTTTCTTGTTCTTACACTTTATAATAATGGAATCATCCAGTATGACGTCTTTTGTACCTGTCCCTCTACATTCAGTATTATGTTTGTGAGATTCTTTCTTGTTGGGTATAGCATTCGTCCATTCTTTTTCAGTGTGGTGTAGTATTCGATTGTGTGAACATACAACAATTTGTTTATCTCATTCAATTGCTGATGACATTTGGGGCTATTACAAATACCGCTGACCTGAACATTATGTAGGTGTCTTTTTGGTGCACATATATGAATTTCTGTTGAGCATATACTTAGAAGTGAAATCGCTGGGATTCTACTCATGTGTATTATCTATCTTTCCTGGCTAGAACGTAAATTCCATGTCTATTTTATTCACTGTCGTGTCCTAACACATTGTAGGCCTTCCACTGAATGACTGCTGATCGGGGAAAAAAATGTACGCATGAAGGAACTACTTTGTGAGGAAGATATTGTCGCTTTTTAAGGGACGAAGTAACCGAGGCTGAGAGCTCAAGTCGCCTCCAGGAGATCACACAGAGTCAGAATCCCATCTCAAGCTTGTCTGAGTGAGGGGCGCTCTTGACGCTTCTCTACCCGGTGCTGTGCGCCCCCCAAAACGTACTGTGAGGTAAGACGCAGGGTCGGCGGCCGGGTGTCCTTCTCCCGGGCCGGCGTGGTCGTCATCAGCTGCCCCGTCCCGAGTTGGGGACTCCGGTCCCGGGGCGCGGGCTCCGGGCGGGGAAGAAGCTCACAGTGGGCGGCGGGGGGCGGGGGGCGGGGGGCGCGGGGAGCGGGGATCCCTCGCCCCCCTGCGCGCTCTCCGGGCG